TGTTTGTCCAGCTACCGTATGTAATTTAGCTTTGCTTTGAATTTAGTGCATTATCTACCAAAACGGGACTGTGACAATGTGACATGATCCCCAACCAAATGTAGTGCTGTTTTGGGCTGAACAGTAGCCGTTAATAAAAAGCGGTCATGAGCACGAGCTCATTGGCGTAAATTAGCAAACTCCTGACTTATTAAGATAATGCGATCTACAGAGAGGGGGGGTGGAAATCTGGCTAATTGGCTCCCGAGCACGAATGAGCGCTTATTTTTACCCTCCCAAATTGCCGACGAAAAAAGTGTGTCGGTGGTCCGATCACGTGACTGTTATCCACACCCGCCTTGTGCGATTCTGCGTCTATGAACCACCGTCCTCCGAGAACGTATCTTTTGAATAGACCTGCGTGTGTTTTAGATACTCTAGAGCCTACAATTTCTAGGGCGAAATAACTACCGAGACAAGTGGTCTGGTTTTGGGGGTCAAGGGCGCCATGTCGGCTAAATGGGTAGTTCAATTTTTTGACGGCACATACACTTGAACAAAAAGCGAGATCTACTTTATAATTCAGAAAAATAAATCTACACAATATATTTTTCATTTGTAAGGTGAATGGCAGTGTGTGATAGGGAGTCATGTGGTATAACCCTTTTGACCCTACGACGTGACGAGACAGTGAATTTATGCGCATACATTGCATTGAATCACTTGGACGGACTGCAACACAGACCTAAGATACCATATTAGAGACCTCTAGGCGCATATAGCCAACTTGGAGTTTCTGAATCAACTAACTTGGCCACAAAAGTCATGTACAAGGGCCCCGTTTTTACCCCCCCTCTAGAGCCACGGGTTCGAATGCACGCATCTAGACTCATTAGTATTATTTGTAGCCAGGAAGCTACTCTACATGATTCTACGGTGAATTATGCATATATACCTCGTATTTGCGTTCCTATAGCTGTATGATGCTGACAAGTGTGCCGACAGGATTTCCTGACCGAGTGCAGTACACTGGCTCTGGAGCCAAATGCTTCGGAAGACCAGTGCATAACGAGTTCAAATAAACCAAGCTCTAGCGGTTGGGAGTCCAAGCACAGGGGGGGGGGGGGGATTTTCCCTGTTTTTTTTGCTCGGAAAAAATCTGGAGGTGTCTGGCCTGCAAAAAAGGCATTCCCCCCATAAAAAAGGCAGCGGCAAAGCTGTTTCTGATGGTTTAAAAGCAAAAGGCCGTACCCGGGTTCGAACCGGGGTCGCGGGAATTACGTAATCATAGAAATTACCGGTTTGAACCCGGGTATGATGTCAAAATCCCGTGTGCTAAACCACTACACTATACAGCCCGCTAATAAACATTCAATGTTAGAGTATATAAGCAACCGGGCTTTCCTGGGCGTGCTCTACATGTCGTGTATTGCACCTTCTCTCAAACCGATGGTGTTCACCGCTCCGGGTAGTAATCAAAAAGTTACAAAATAGATCCATGGATGAGAAACCGAGACTACTTATCAAAGTCTTCCAAGCAAGAAAGCGTAATGCCTAAAAGTCAACATGGAAAAAGGGGTAGTCTGGTGTTGCAATGTGACGAGGAACAATGATGGGATGTGGTTTAATAAAGCGTTCAGGGATAATCGTGTTGGAATGTGGCGCATACATCTACCGCCGTTACCTTTGGTTTCATTTCCCTGTATACTCGATTCTAATTGTATCCATCCTCGGGCCTTCATGATGTTGC